AATATGCTAAGAATTTATTCAGTTCCAGATAGAAATACGAAAACAAAAATTAGCCATTATGATAGTGGCCACATTCTCCAAACAACTTGGAAATTGGTCACTTCAAGTTGTTCAGTTTGCAAAGGACTGTTTCAAAATGTACAAAAGCGCATTTGAAGATCCGTTGTTCCGTTCATTAGGCCTTTTATTTGGCGATGTTGTCACTGTCGTTGCCGTCATTTTTTTTGCGTTAAGTCTCTATTAACTTTCTATGCCATTGTTTGACAACAATTTCCAGAATGTTACGACTGGAGCTTCAATTACACTATAAAATATAAAATAAAATATTAATTTTCTGTTCCAGTCCAGAAGTGCGTGCTTTAAAGAAATGCAATTGCCTTACCTTGGTTCTTCTCGCCTGCTTGTAAGGGAAAAATCTGACTCCATTGTTGCCGTAGGAAACAGTATATGATGTAACCCACTGGTTCGCATCATACCGACCCTGGGTAGCAATTCGCTTCACAACGGAAATTACTCCTAAGTCAATCTGCAGCCACTGATGGGTGTTGCGGTATTTGGCAAGCCAGCCCCCTCGGGTAGAACCTCGGTTCTGCGCCTGCAGTCTGGCACTCCAAGGACCGTAATAGTGGTTGTGCATGGATGAGGCAGTGAACATGGATCTTGTGATGCGGCCATCTTGGATTCCAAGTGGAACGTCACATCGATCTTTGAGAATAAAAATAAGATTTAAATAAATAATTGAAATAAAATAAATCAGTTTATTCAAGTGTTGAAGTGAAAGTGGAAAAAGTTCAATAGTGGCCAACATCCAACGATTAAGTGTTGAAGTGTTTAGCGCTACTGTCAGTACTTGTTGGGACACTGAAAAAACAAACAAATATTGTAAATTGAACAGAAACTTGTTAAAAATCCCAACTGGTGTGAAGCTGACTACTTGCCTATTTACAAAATTTGGAGGAGTTGAATCTGGGACCACCAACACAAATCCATCTGGCGGCAGGGAGGAGGATTTAATTGAAATCTAGACCTCTTTTTCACAAATCACGCGCCCTTAACCACTACACAATGCTGCCCCCAATTTAAGAGACAAAGTTATTAACTACACTGTATCATGCATGCAGACATACTGGTGAACATGAAAGCAGACAAGCTCGTCTAGACCTTCCAATTACGATGCCAAAAATTAAGACAATTTTCTATTAAATATTTTTTTTTCGTTTAAACGACTACCTACCAACTGGGCATCCATAAAATTCTGCCCTCAAGCATGGATAACCACGCCAGCCACGCGGATTAAGACGCACATAGCGCGCTCTGATAGATGGATTAATTGCATTGGTCACAATGCTGTTTTGATCACGATTTGCTTGGAAGAGCTATTTGAAAATAAAGAGACAAATAACAAAATTAACCCTTTATAATATACCATACTACCAAAAATATGGATAAACGTACAACAACTGTAACCCACTTTGTTTTTCTCAGTGACGTTTCTTGAAGTGGATATGGGTGCTTCTTGGATTTGCGTGGGGCTTGCCATGTGACGCCAAGAAGCAACACTTCAAGTAAATATGTGTGAAAAAACTTGAGGAAAAAATGAAAACTTTGGGGTTGTCATTGCTGATGAACAAACTATTGTAGAGGTACGACTGAATACCTGATTTGCACTTCTGAAGCGATATATTGCCCAATGTACATTGTCCACACTTGATGACAAATAGTATGATGTGACCCAATGACCGGCATCATGTCTTCCCTGTGTGGCTATTTTGGTTATTTTCATTAGCCGACGGAAGTCCACTTTGAACCACTGATTGTGGTTCCTGTGCTTGGGACACCAGGCTCCTATGTAACGACCAGCCTTCACTCGTTTTAGTCTACCAAGCCAAGCAGCATGGTAACGGTTTACTTCTGAGGATGCAGTGATCTGGCTGTTACGGATTCGGCCATTTTGCAGTCCCAGGGCGCGGTTACACAGTGACACTGGAATGGGTAAAGTAATAGCAATGAAACTTACAGGTATTATAATTCTGAACTAACAATTTGGCAACAGGTGCTTTTAAAACGAAATCAAGAATTCAAATAACGGAAGATCAAAAACATAAAGCCCAAAAACTTAAAGACATTCTTAAAATTCATTCAGAAATAATACCTGAACAACCAAAAATTTCAGCCCTCATTGATATCCAGCTGTACCAAGATCTTGGATATATCCGCACATAAATGGCAGTGAACGGTCTCATGAACTGGTGATAAACTACTGAGTGACGGTCCGTGTTAGCATTGAAAAGCTACAGAGAAAGAGGTTGTAGAACTTCAGAAATCATGCAATCATTGACTCGAGGGTGTAGTACACAAACATCAAGCAAATGCGCAAAATGAGCCACTGTTACATCTTGACAATGCAATTTCAGAGATCTAACAAAGGGGGTTATTAAAAAAACTGGACATAAAAGATCTTCCAGAAAGTTGATATTAAATCTTTAACACTTTTGACAAACATTTTCAAGGATTTTCAAGTACATGTACACTAACTACACCTACAAGGACATATAATTATGTAATTGACAAAGTCAAGGATGTCGAACATTAATGATCTTTAATTTACTGCCCATGGGATACATGGGATCCTTGCTTAGATTGACAATCTTTTTTAGATCCTCATCAAATCCTTCCATAAAAACATTAAAGTACTACTTTATTACCATGTAATTAATCGAGACTATCTAGATTTAGGATCCTTGAAAAAATCCTCAAAGTTGCTTACTAACTAGGACTTAACATCTGAGAAATAGAGTGTCATGTCTACCAAGTAAAAGACAACACTTATACCAGAATCCATACAGTATACACATGAATTGTACAGAATTTTATTTCAACTCTTACATTGACCAGCTCAACACCTACCTTCACACGACGATTTTCCTTGTAGGGCACAAAGTTCATTCCATCTATGCTGTACTTGACTGTGTAACTTCTCACCCACTGATTTGCATCCTGCCGTCCCTGAGTGGCTACGCCTTTAATGCGCATCAACTCTACAAAGTTCACTTGAAACCATTGTCCTACTCTTCTGAGCCGCACACTCCATGACCAGCGGTGGTTCAGTCGACCATGCCAGGGTGAAAGGTGATGGTTATAGTAAGTGGAGGCAGTGAGGTGACCATTTGGTACACGCTTGTCTTCCAAACCAAGCGGCATGGCACAACGATCTGAAGAAAAATTGCACTCATTAGAACTCTTACTAACTTCTATATTAACAATAGTAAACCTTATAACAAATGCCAATTTGAGGCAGAATCCACTGGTCATTGATGGAAGGTAACCATTATGGTGAAGTCCTAAACAGGGTCTTAAAATAGAGGGTGTTATCCTACATGGGGTAGGGTCTATAGTGTATTAGGGTCAGGATTTCAAACCCTTGTTGGCACCCCTATACCCAGGTATGGGCCAAGTACTCCACTGGGAATCATTCTTGCCAACTGATTTACAAGAACCAAAAAAAAAAAAAATTATGATTGCATAATTTAGGGCATCATGACTCAATATGTTAAGTCCTTTGCAGTTTATTTTTATTTTATCAACATGACATAGCTCCTTGAAGTTTTCACTGTCACTGAAATTTCAATTATATTAACTGGCAGCTACATGTTGTTTTTAATAGTAAGGGCTTTACAGTGAAAAGATACCATAACAAGTACCATAATAATTTGCAAATTGTGAAAAATTAAATAAATCTGACAAGGAAAATGGTACCAAAATACAGTCTTCAAGCCATGAATTTTGTGGCAGGCATCCCATCAATCCCATAATAAAGATGCTTGTCCTTGAGTCCCCTTGAAAAGTGATCACACTCACCCTCTGCACATCCATAGAACTCCACTCTCATGGAGATATGCCTGTACCATCCCCATGGGTGAACACGGATGGTATATGCCTTAATCCGTGGGTAGAGACCATGTTGGACAATACTGTTCTGATCTCTGTTTCCTGTGAAATACTGGAGAAATAGTTCACAACAAGTTAGTTAGGGTTATAATATATATGATGTTAGAAAATAATGTAGACTACATGCAGATATACAAGTCTCATGCAACCTCACAAAGACGCAACATTCCATGAATACTGATGAAATGTCCTATTTTATTAATTGAATTCTTGGAAGAGGGAAGGTTTTCTATCTTGAAAGATTTGCATCAATGATATAGATTAAGGTGCTTAACTACACTATCCAAATTCAAAATTAATTTTGCACAGTTTGCAAATTACCAAATAATCATCTCAGGCTTGTATGGAAATCTTTGGCCTCACAATATAACCAGAGATGATATATAGAAGATATTAT